TTACTAGTAGTAAGTTTTCATTACAAAAGCAAACTAATGTGATCTCGTCGAAATAAGGCCACGCAAAGTTAATTTTTTATTAACACCATGTCTATTAATAACTCAACAAAAAAAGTGTATCTGGGGGATGTTGATCCAGAATTTTGTTTTAATTCAAAAGCTCTCAGTGCCACAGTTCATCATATTGTAACTTCTTTTTTCAGTTTAGAAAATGATCGTATTATTACAAAATATAAAAACTTAAATCCTCAAATTGATGTAAATGTTTTGAAAAATTGTTTAGAGTATAAACCAAAATTTTTTAAATGGGCAGGTGATTACTTCGATTTATGTTAATGTATATTACGAACTATATATTTGGTTTAATTATTAATATATATAAATATCTATTTTTTATATTACTTTCTTCTTAGCTTCTGATTTTTTTAATGTAATTAATTCAAATAGTAAATAACAAATGATCATTATTGAATTCGGTTCAGGTTCTGCAGGACAATCCTCAATGCCTTCGCTAGATATAAATAATAAAAGACAAAATAGATATAAACTCGTAATACAAGCATTTAAACAAGCTCTAAAAGACACTGATTCCTCTCTTGGTGAGCTTACTGTAGTGTGTGATATAGCTAACGATGAAATAGAAGCAACTGGGTATGTGGCTGCAATCTCTGAAGAGACTAAAGAACATGTTTGGATTGTAATGCTTTACAATGTTGCTAAATATGATTAACTTTTTAAATGAAAGAATAAAATTATGTATATCATATTTTAATCATATGGCTTATAAACCTTGGATTCATTTTCCTCTAAAATCTAAGACTGTGATATTTAATAATATAATCGCATGCTTGGCTGGTGGTCAAAACAAAATTATAGCATCAAAATCATTTGAAGCATTTAATACTGAATTTTCTGAAAGTGGACTTGCTATTCGTTTTCCAAAAACCATATACAATATAAGCAAGTGCGAAATTTCTTCATGTATCGAAAAGATGGGTGGTCATGCGGTAATTAAAGCTGCTTATGGCTGTTGTTGTAAATATTTTCTCTACATACAGTAATTGATTGTTATATTTTAAATTGCAAATAATACAGGTCTAATTATCTTTTATTTACAAAAATTAGAACAGAGTATTTACATAATCACTAATTCAGAAGAATTAAAAGAATTCTTTGATGCTAATCATCATTACGAAAAATTTATTGTACAATCTCTTGTTGGAAGTGCATTATGGTCTAAAGAATCATGTTTTGAAAAATTCTACCATATTGGTACTATGCCAAATTGTCATAATCAAACTTTTGTTAATGACCTGAGAATGATGGTATCTGCAGATGATACTGGATTTTATCCTGTGAATATTAGTTCACGACGTGCTAGTGAGCCACTACCCACCTATCTACCAAATAATTCTAATTGTAAGTTAATAATTAATATAATATGTATATATATAGATCACGTCTGAAATCTGTGCCATGTTATGTAGATCACTAAATCGGTGATCAAAATTTAATGCTTTTACAGTGTTTCTTGATTATAATATGCCTATCTAACTAAAATTTCGTGCCGAAAATTTTATTTAGAAGTTATACTATAGTTGGCATAGTAAAATCTTAGTTAATTAAGTTTTTTCCTTTTTCTTAATGTTTTTATATTACACATGATCTTGTGATTTTATTGGCTATAATCATATAACCTGGCACAGATTTCAGACTTGCTGTATTGCATTGTACTATCTTTGGATATACATTGCCCAGTTTTAATTAAAACTAACAGATTTTAAATATAATAGAAAATCCATGGAAAGTCTTTGGAATAAATGTAACTAGTTCTAGTGGGATGGCAGGACATGAATATGAAAGAATAATTACAATTGACCAGAAAGAGTTTGATACTACTGGATTTGGTATTGATG